GGCCGACTATGCCCAAGAGAAAGGCCTCTGGTTTCTTCAAGAAGGTATATTTAAACACCTTTTTAGTTCATTATATATCATCTCCCAGAAAGCCTTAATCTTTGGGCACGTCCACCAAAGGTGAAAAAATGTACCTTCAGTTTCTTTACATTTCCAACATTTATTATCAGGCACATGATAGATTTTTGCAAGCTTGACTGGGGTTATGTACCACCTGTATATCATTTTCATAATATTTTCTCTTAAGGCATTACATGCCGTAAATTTCATACCTGTGGTCCACAACTGTTCCCAGTCAGCAAACATAATATTATGTCCAACATCTTGTGCCCATTTAATCATAGCAGATTTCACCGTTTCATCCTGAGTATTCCATTTCAACAGCAAGTTATACATCTTTGACAAAATTTTAGTTTTGGGTTCTAACAGTTCTGTTTCTAATTTTGATTTTTCCACCTGGAAGCCGATTTTCTTGTCCAAATTGTATGCCTCCATTAAATCCATTAACTAAATCTAATTACTTTTGTATGTGAGTGAAAACAGTGCCTCTGAAGTGAGAAGCATCCATTCTTTGTAAGACGATGGATGCATGTCAAAGCAAGTATTGTCTCGGAAAAGACTTACCCTCCCGCATGAGAAAGAAGTCAAAGTGTCCCTTCTTAAAATGGCACTTGCCATCTGGAGTTTTTAAAAATACTGTTAATAAAAATAATGTTTGGGTTGTTGATGTTGTTGTTTTTAAAAATCTGCTGCACATTTTTAATTGATTTAAAACACATGCCATTGATTCCTCTAACAGTTAGATTCTAACTAGGGATGGAGGGGAAATGTTATCCAGTTCACATTTAAAGGCAACTTCCCTATGAAGAAAAGTTGGAGTGTTGGACATTTTAGTTCAGGAAGAGGTTTAGTGAGAGGTGACACGATAGAAGTTTATAAAATTCGGCATGCCTTGGAGAATGTGGATACAGAAAAGAACTCATGGACAGCCAATGAAGCTGAAGGTTGGAGGATTCAGGGCAGATAAAAGAAAAGACTTCTTCACACAGCAATGAGTTAAACCGTGGAACTCCCTGCCACAGGAAACAGTGATAGTCATCAACCAGGATGGCTTTAAAAGAGGATTGAACAAATTCACAGAGAAGGTTGTGAATTGTTACTAAATTGTTACTAGCTATTCCACCAGGCCTATGCAAGCAGTTAAGAATATTATTTATTTTATATTGTTGTTGTTTAGTTGTTTAGTCGTTTCCGACTCTTCATGACCCCATGGACCAGAGCACGCCAGGCACTCCTGTCTTCCACTGCCTCCCGCAGTTTGGTCAAACGCATGTTCTTAGCTTCGAGAACACTGTCCAACCATCTCGTCCTCTGTCGTCCCCTTCTCCTTGTGCCCTCCATCTTTCCCAACATCAAGGTATTTTCCAGGGAGTCTTCTCTTCTCATGAGGCGGTCAAAGTATTGGAGCCTCAGCTTCAGGATCTGTCCTTCCAGTGAGCACTCAGAGCTGATTTCCTTCAGAATGGAGAGGTTTGATCTTCTTGCAGTCCATGGGACTCTCAAGAGTCTCCTCCAGCACTATAATTCAAAAGCATCCATTCTTCGGCGATCAGCCTTCTTTATGTTCCAGCTCTCACTTCCATACATCACTACTGGGAAAACCATAGCTTTAACTATACGGACCTTTGTCGGTAAGGTGATGTCTCTGCTTTTTAAGATGCTGTCTAGGTTTGTCATTGCTTTTCTCCCATGAAGCAGGCATCTTTTAATTTCGTGGCTGCTGTCACCATCTGCAGTGATCGTGGAGCCCAAGAAAGTAAAATCTCTCACTGCCTCCATTTCTTCCCCTTCTATTTGCCTGTTTTTAATTTTTTATGGTTTTATTGTATGGTGTTCTTATCCCTGTGAACCGTTTTGACATATGCTTATTGTGACAAAACATACAGAATTTTCTTTTTATAAATAAACAAATCTTGGGCGCTGAGAGTTGTTAAGACCCCCCCCCTCCCCAGGTGCAATTCAAGCATCTTTGAGAAACCAGTTCCCGGAATACTTTGAGGGAAGCCATGATTGTTAAAATGACATTGTAGCACTTTCAATGTGTGATGTGGGTGTGCCCTTCCCACGCCCATTAACGTCAATGGATGTGAATAGCTCAGTTGGTTAGAGTGTGGCACTGATAACGCCAAGGTTGCAGGTTCGATCCCCGCATGGGACATCTGCATATTCCTGCATTGAAGGGGGTTGGACTAGAATTCAAGGATCAGCAAACTTTTTCAGCAGGGGGCCAGTCCACTGTCCCTCAGATCTTGTGGGGGCCGGACTATATTTTGGGAGGGGAAAATTAACGAATTCCTATGCCCCACAAATAACCCAGAGATGCAATTTTAAATAAAAGCACACATTCTACTCATGTAAAAACACCAGGCAGGCCCCACAAATAACCCAGAGAGGCAATTTTAAATAAAAGCACACATTCTACTCATGCAAAAACACCAGGCAGGCCCCACAAATAACCCAGAGATGCATTTTAAATAAAAGGACACATTCTACTCATGTAAAAACACGCTGATTCCCGGACCATCCGTGGGCTGGATTGAGAAGGCGATTGGGCCAGATCCGGACCCGGGGCCTTAGTTTGCCCTCCCATGGACTAGATGATCCTCAGGCTCCCTTCCAACTCTACAATTCTATGATTTCTATGATTCTACTCAGAGTAGGACGAACACTGGACACTCCTCCTGTTATGTTCTTTTAATGTTTGTACATTTTAAACCGAAGTAAGAGTTCTTGTTTACTTATTAGAAACAGGCTTTTAGGAAATGTAATAAACTAACGAAACTGAACAAGCCAGCTGGTACCCAAACTGAAATGAGGATGGCCTGTTTCACAAGTCACCAGATCCAAACTGTTTATTACCGGGGAAAGAATTTGTCACGAAGCCTGACGACAGAACTTTGTGCTGGAAAAATGTTATATCCTCGCCTCGCCAGTGAAAACCCCTTCCATTGCAGCAGCCCCCAATTAACTTTTGTTTGGGGATCCTGTTAATTTCCAAACCAACCCGTCAAAGCTGTATCCGAAACAGTCATTAAAAAGAAAGGGGTGTGTGTGGTTGTTTCATGTTATGCTACTAATTGCTAAACACTGAGGTGTCTCCTTCTTTTCTCCCCACCTCAACCCCACATCACTTATAAGATGCTTTTCTTATTTTGCAACCTTAACCGCCAAGGCATCCCTAACCGTGTAGGTTTTGGGTGTGGGTTTTTTTTGTTTTGTTTTAAAGAAAACCTGTAAATGGCAAGATTGTGCAAATAGCACTCGGATCATTTGCATAAAAATTGGTTGCAAAGAGCAATTAGCACTTCATTAATAATCAATGAAGTGCCAATTTACACATTGCCCAAAAGCAAATTGTAAATTCAATTTGGTAGAGGATGGAGAAACCCAGCCTTGGCAACCGAAGTGGGTGGCTGCCGCAGAGGTCTGCCCAGGCAAGATTTCGATCCGACCTCCAGTGCGAGTCTGCTCCCTCCTCGCTTGAGACACCTTCCTCCGCAAGTCACAAACTCAGTGTCCCCTGGTCATCTGTTCTTTCTGAAGCCAGGCACCAGGATTGCCAGGAGCCCTGCATTCGGATCCAGAAATATGACTTCACCAAGTTGGGGTGGGGAGGGCAGTTCTTTCCCTTTTTTATATACAGTCATACCTCGAGTTGGGATGTTGGTGGCGCTGTGGGTTAAACCACAGAGCCTAGGACTTGCTGATCAGAAGGTCGGCGGTTCGAATCCCCGTGACGGGGTGAGCTCCCGTTGCTCGGTCCCAGCTCCTGCCCACCTAGCAGTTCGAAAGCACACCAGTGCAAGTAGATAAATAGGTACCACTCTGGCGGGAAGGTAAACGGCGTTTCCGTGCGCTGCTCTGGTTTGCCAGAAGCAGCTTAGTCATGCTGGCCACATGACCCAAAAGCTGTACGCCGGCTCCCTCGGCCAGTAAAGCAAGACGAGCGCCGCAACCCCAGAGTCGTCCACGACTGGACCTAATGATCAGGGGTCCCTTTACCTTTACTTTATACCTCGAGTTGAATGTGCTTCGGGTTGAGCGCATTCGAGTTGCGCTCCATGGCAACCCGGAAGTAATGTAGCGCGTTACTTCTGGGTTTCGCCACTCGCGCATGCGCAGATGCTCAAAATGATGTCACGCGCATGTGCGGAAGCGGCGAAACATGACCCACGCACGTGCAGCATCTTGCGTTGCGTTTGGGATGTGAACGGGGCTCTGGAACAGATCCCGTTTGCATCCCGAGGTACCACTGTATATACATTTTTATTGATTTTTTAACATCTCAGTTCCAACAGTCATACAACATTTCTTCTCATGTTATACAGTATTTTAGACTTCCGTCAACACCTCTGATGATTTTCCGTTCTTTATCACTTATTCTGCATTTCTTAATTTCTATATTACATTTCATTGTCCTTAACTGATAGTTCTCTTTGTAGTCTTTCTTGCCGTATTTCAAATAATCCACTTTACAAAACTTCTTGCAGTCCTACTAGCGTAATCTGTTTAGTACAATTACTTTTCAAATAGTTCATATATTTACTCCAGTCTTCTAAGAATCTCTGATCCCGCAGGTTTCAAATCCTTCCTGTTAATTTATCTAATTCTGCATAGTCCATCAACTTCATCCTCCATTCTTCTTTCGTCGGTAGTTCTTCTTTCTTCCATTTTTGTGGGGGAGGGCAGTTCTTTCCCAAAGGGAATCTAAACCAAGAAATCAGGAATGGATGGCAAGCACAAACTCGGTGTTCCCTGATTGTCTGTCAGGGTTTATTTCTGGAACGGAAGCAGAATCAAGATGATCAAGGGTCTGGAAACCAAGCCTGATGAGGAACAGTCGAAGGAGTTGGGTATGTTTAGCCTGGAAATGAGGCGCCTGAGATGTGATAGCCTTCTTTGAATATTTAAAGGGCTGTCACACAGAAGATGGAGCAAGATTGTTCATGGCTCAGTCAGTAGAGCATGAGACTCTTAATCTCAGGGTCCTGAGTCTGAGTCCCACTTTGGGCAAAAGATTCCTACACTGGAGAGCGTTGGACTACATGACTCTCATTGTCCCTTCCCATTGTATTATGAGATTCTCCTGCTCTCAAGGCTAGGACCTGAATCAGTGGCTTCAAGTTACAAGAAAGGAGAGTCCAACTCAACATCAGAAAGACCTTTCTGAGAGTAGGAGCTGTTCAGCGGTGGAACAGTCTCCCTTGGGAGATGGTGGACTCTCCTTCATGGGAGATATTTAAGCAGAGATTCCTGCATTGCAGGGGGTTGGGCTAGATCAGGCATAGGCAAACTCCGGCCCTCCAGATGGTTGGGACTACAATTCCCATCAACCCTAGCTAACAGGACCAGTGGTCAGGGATGATGGGAATTGTAGTCCCAAACATCTGGAGGGCTGGAGTTTGCCTATGCCTGGACTAGATGGGCCTTGGTGTCTCTTGCAACTCTACAGTTCTATGATTTGATGATTCTAGGTTCCTAGGCAATCTATCTCTGAAGACCAGATCCAAAGGACTTACGGGACCGCCTCTCCTGGTCTGCCCCGCAGAGCACCTTAAGGTCCATGAACAATCATAGTTTAGAGGTCCCAGGCCCTAAGGAAGTCAGATTATCCTCCACCAGGGCCAGGGCCTTCTCAGTGATGGCTCCAACCTGGTGGAATGCTCTGTCCCATGAGACCAGGGCCCTGCAGGATTTAACTTCCTTCCGCAGGTCCTGTTAGACAGGGCTATTCCGCCTGGCTTTCAATGTGAACTTAGCCTGATATTTTATTCCCCTTCCTTCCCTCTCCCTCCCCTTTTTATGAAGATTACCCGCTCTGGGATCCCACAGCTAATTCTCCCCTGGTCTCCTCGCTGGCCCAAATAGGATTATTTTAGCCAGCTAGCCCTGGTGATCATCTAATGTTTATTGGATGGATTTTCCCCCTAAATTGATTTTTGAATTCTGAATTTATTGTTATTCACGTTTTATACTGTATTTTATGCTGCTTTTGTTGCATCAATTAAGTGTTTTAAATTTGTTGTTAGCCGCCCTGAGCCCGGTTTCCTGAACCGGGAAGGGCGGGGTAGAAATAAAAAATTATTATTAATTATTATTAATAAATATTTTTGAGCAGGAGAGGGCTCTTGCCTTCATGTTCTGCTTCTTGTTGACTTCCTTGGAGGCAGCCCACTGCCCACAGTTTCAAACCAGGTCTTGGCTAGATGGGCATAGATTTCTTTTTTTTTTAATTCAAAATTATAACAAGACATATTATCCAAAAACATATCATCCTTGTCCCCCCCCCCATTTTTCCTCCCTCCCCCCTCCCACACAAAACCCACCCACCCCACCCCCCTGACTTCCCTGAGTTCCAGTCTTTGGTTTCTCTAATAATGCTGTTTTCTGCACGTTACAAAGTTGTATAGATCCTCAAACTATTTAGCTGATTATTATCAATAAAAAGTTTGTGAATGTTTATTCAAAACCTGCCAAGGAGTCCAGTTCGCTTTGTTGCGTCTTCAGATACTTTGTAAAGGGTTCCCATTCATCCTTAAAGTCACAGTTATCCTTGTCCCGTAGCTTATATGTCAGTTTTGCCAGTTCTGCATAGTCCGTCAATTTTTCTTGCCATGATTCTTTAGTTGGGGTTTTTTCAGTCTTCCATCCTTGTGCTACCAGAACTCTCACAGCCGTTGTCGCATACATGAAGATGTTTTTCAACTTTTTTGGCAGGTCTTTCCCTACAATCCCCAACAAAAATGCCTCGGGTTTCTTAACAAATGTTAAATGGAACATTTTCTTCAATTCGTTGTATATCATTTCCCAAATTTTTAAAATTACCTTACAATCCCACCACATATGATAAAATGTCCCCTCCTTTTCCTTACACTTCCAACATATATTTGAACTAGTTTTGTACATTTTCCCTAACTGCAATGGTGTTGTGTACCATCTGTACATCATCTTCATGTAATTCTCCTTCAGTAGGGAACAATCTGTAAGTTTTAAGTCAGTTTTCCATAATTTAACCCAATCTTCCATCATAATGTTGTGACCTACATCTTGTGCCCATTTAATCATAACTGATTTTACCTCTTCATCTTTCGTCTCCCATTCTAATAGTATGATGTATGCGGCCTTCAAATGGGCATGGATTTCAGGACCTCAGAAGTCGTGAGTGCTTATTCAGATCCCTGTGTTGCTTGAGGCTGGACTAGATGCCCTTCAGGGTTTCCTTCTGACTAGCATTCGATGATTCTGAGAGGCCCAAGAACGGGAAGAAATGTGGAAGGTTTTTAGGCCGCGTAATAATAAAATAGTTAATAAATCTAAGCGGCCATTTAGTTATTGATGAAGTAAGAGGAGCTGTTTAATGTGGAAAACATAAGCAAGATCGATAGGAGAGAACACAAATAACTGAAAACTATTGACACGTAAGTATTTTAAGCCTAACTGCAGCCATATGCATTTTCCGAGGGTATCTCACCTTCTAATAGCACCCTAGAGATGATGGGGTTAATTGATGCAGCTGTTTACTCGCAGCTCACGTGAGGAATCTCCCGGGGGGACCTGTTATTAAACTAAAGTGTTTAATGAAGCACTAAGGAGCGAAGTTCCTAATATCAAAGGAAATTAAATAAAAAGGACGAACAAACTTCTTTCCTTTTTCTCTCTCCTTCCGACGATGGTTGTTTCAGAGCCATCTTAAGCGTTGCACCCCACAAGTTCCCCAGGGGGAAGTTGGGGAGATGGATAGAGGAGCCTTGCTTTCACTGCCTGGGGAAACAAAGAAGGCTGGAACAGATCATACAGAGCGAAGAATGGTATTCAGGCCCAGAAGATGGATGCCAATTGCAGAACTGGGTGCAGAATACAGTTTCCTTTTCTTTTTTTAAAAAAAATCAAGTTTCTAGTCCTTATGGATGCAAACATAAGCTTGAAAGTTTCTGTTGAAATATCAGGCACTAGACTGCATCTTAAAAAGCAGAGACATCACCTTGCCGACAAAGGTCTGTATAGTTAAAGCTATGGTTTTCCCAGTAGTGATGTAGGGAAGTGAGAGCTGGACCATAAAGAAGGCTGATCGCCGAAGAATTGATGCTTTTGACTTCTGGTGCTGGAGGAGACTCTGGAGAGTCCCATGGACTGCAAGAAGATCAAACCTATCCATTCTGAAGGAAATCAGCCCTGAGTGCTCACTGGAAGGACAGATCCTGAAGCTGAGGCTGCAAGACTTTGGCCACCTCATGAGAAGAGAAGACTCCCTGGAAAAGACCCTGATGTTGGGAAAGATGGAGGGCACAAGGAGAAGGGGACGACAGAGGACGAGATGGTTGGACAGTGTTCTTGAAGCTACCAGCATGAGTTTGACCAAACTGTGGGAGGCAGTGGAAGACAGGAGTGCCTGGCGTGCTCTGGTCCAGGGGGTCACGAAGAGTCAGACACAACTAAATGACTAAACAACAACAACAAGATTGCTGAGTTTAAGAGTCAGATCTTCATATGTCTCGCTATTGCCTTCCCCAACCTGGTGCCCTCCGGATGTTTTGCACCAACCTCTCGTCAGCCTCAGCCAGGACATAGGGCACCAGATTGGATAAGGCTGTTTTGCCCTGACGGAAGTGGCTTTCTAGAGTTGCAGAGGATAGTTTCCTGGACCATACCTGGAGATGTCAGAGGCTGAACCTGTGACCTCCGATACTCTGCAGTTGAGCTGCAGTCATAAGCGTAGCCAGGTGGGTGCAGGGGGGGGGGCAGCTGCGCCCCTAAATTAAGTAAACAAATAAAAATACTTAACTAACTGACCAATTGCATCACAGATAACTAGGTTCTGCGCCCCCAACATAAAGCCTGCCCTCCCCATAAAATAAATCTTGGCTACGCCCATGGCTTCAGCCCTTCTCTTAAAAGTGGAGGAATAAAACTGCCATTAGGTGAGGTCAGTGCCGGATTTACACGTAAGCTAAACAAGGTATAGCTTAGGGCCCCACTCTTTGGGGGCCCCAAAAAAATTAATATAGGCAGCCTATATATAGAAATGAGCAAACCAGTGATACTTGAGGGAGCAGGCTAGCAGGCTGGGCCCATTACTTACATCATAGGAGCCTACACAACACAAAACACTGTTGCTGTATGTAGGTTTTATTTTATTTGTTTTTGAAATATACTCGGAGTCGAGAGTGGATTTCATGCTCTTTATGCGCCTCATAGTGGTGAGGAGGAATGGAAGTTCCCCCAGAATGTCTGCCTTATATACATTATTTACACAATGGGCCCCACGTGATTGGCAAATTATGGGATTCTCCTGTAGGCCAATCAGATTGCGGATTCCCTTCCACCTGGAGCTGGATTGGGTGGCTCCTGTGGACCAATCAGACTGCTGCATTCTGAATCCTATTGTTCAAGGACCAATCAGACTGCTGCCTTTTGGATCCTATTCAACTCAGTACATAACAGTTTTTTATCTTATATTTTGGAAATGTACATCCAGGTTGTTCTTTTCCTTTAAAAATTTTTTGGGCCCCCAAGAGAGCGGGGCCCTAAGCTATAGCTTGTTTAGCTTATACATGAACCCAGCACTGCTCGTAGCTATTGATAGCCGTCCATGAATCTGACTGATCCTCTTTTAAAACCATCCAGGCTATTGGCCCTCCCTGCCTCCTGTGGGACCATCACACTGTGTGCCATGTGATGGAGGACTCTCTTTTAATCTGTCATGAAACTTCCAACATTCGGGCTTTGTTGCCAGAGTCCCTGGATCAAGGCTCCCAGGGCCTTACGTTGTCTTGCTCCTCCAGAATCTGGCTGGTACCAACCTGTGCTTAATTTTGTCCTCTTCCTTTGTCCTACTTTGATGGTCACTTTCCTTTGGGGCGGGGAAGAAGCTGAACACCAGCCTGGCTTTTGTCCTACATGGTTCTTTCCATCCTTCTGATACAGATGGACCACATTTGCTTGTTCCTCACCTTCCAATCCCCTTCATGGATCACTGCCTTGCCGTGGCGAAGGGGCTTGAATAACTCAGAGAAGC